AGTATGGTGACACATTGGTAACGTTTTAGTATGGTGACACATTGATAACGTTTTAGTATGGTGACACATTGGTAACGTTTAATATGGTGACACATTGGTAACGTTTTAGTATGGTGACACATTTGTAACGTTTTAGTATGGTGACACATTTGTAACGTTTTAGTATGGTGACACATTGGTAACGTTTTAGTATGGTGACACCTTGGTAACGTTTTAGTATGGTGACACATTGGTGACGTTTTAGTATGGTGACACATTGGTAACGTTTTAGTATGGTGACACATTGGTAACGTTTTAGTATGGTGACACATTGGTAACGTTTTAGTATGGTGACACATTTGTAACGTTTTAGTATGGTGACACATTTGTAACGTTTTAGTATGGTGACACAATGGTGACGTTTTAGTATGGTGACACATTGGTAACGTTTTAGTATGGTGACACATTTGTAACGTTTTAGTATGGTGACACATTGGTAACGTTTTAGTATGGTGACACATTGGTAACGTTTTAGTATGGTGACACATTGATAACGTTTTAGTATGGTGACACATTGGTAACGTTTTAGTATGGTGACACATTGGTAACGTTTTAGTATGGTGACACATTTGTAACGTTTTAGTATGGTGACACATTTGTAACGTTTTAGTATGGTGACACATTGGTAACGTTTTAGTATGGTGACACCTTGGTAACGTTTTAGTATGGAGACACATTGGTGACGTTTTAGTATGGTGACACATTGGTAACGTTTTAGTATGGTGACACATTGGTAACGTTTTAGTATGGTGACACATTTGTAATGTTTTAGTATGGTGACACATTGGTAACGTTTTAGTATGGTGACACATTGGTAACGTTTTAGTATGGTGACACATTTGTTACCTTTTTAGTATGGTGACACATTTGTGATATTTTTAGAATGGTGACACATTGGTGACATTTTTAAATATGATGGAACACTTGTGACATTTTCAGAATGGTAACAGCTTTGGACATTTTTAGTATGGTTAGATCTTGCTTGTGTTTTTGATATGGTGACACATTTGTTTCTTTTTTAGTATGATGACACGTTGTTAACGCTCTCAGTTTTCACCGATGGCTATGAAATATATCACATTTTATGTCCCCTTAATGTTGTTCTTTTTGTGAAATCTTCTTAAAGGAGGAAATAAAGAGAACAATAATAACCTTTAATTCTTCTAATTGCTTTGTAAAACCTCTAAGCGTTATGTTCTCAATATTTTCATCATACGTTAGTTATTTCTGTATGTGGCATGTACACGTTATACTTTCAATACTGTTTCAACAGACCGTAAACTATCTGTCTAACGTTCTACTTAGTCCTGCTTCGACAGGTGGCTTTCTTAACGAACGTTCGCACTTTCTACCTCGAATCATTGACAATAATTGCTTTGGGATGTTCCAAGATTCGGATTGATGGTGAAATACCGAATCAGATAATAATATTGATTTTATTGGTGACATTTGTTACACATTTAAATCCATTGTGTCATTCGATAGAAGTGCAATGTCGTCTGTGACTTTTGGCGCGCTAATATATGTCCCGATAGAGACGTCTATGCGATGATGGTCTAAAGCGTCAAATAAATCGTCATTTTATCATTTGTGCGGAATGTTCATACACTAGATCGTATTTGTATCATTTGTTAGGAGGATGTATAACATCAGCCAGAGGTCGCCCTTGATATCAAACTAATGATGTATCTGATTAAACCATACTGCCACACAAAGTCCAGACTTACTATATATCAAAGGTCATTAGCACCAAAATATCATTTCTGTCCTTGCTTTCATATAAAGCTTCAGAGGCGATGGACACCGTGTTATCAGGGGTGGTTTTTGGCCCGGAACTTTGTTGTAGCCAATGCTGTGAGGTTTTATGTAATTCATTCTATGTACCTGGTATAAGAGTATGACACCCGTAGTTCCTTGGTTTGATCCTTTTCGCTTTCGTACATCGGTATAAGGATGTCTTGCTTATAAGATACCTTGGAGTCTACTAGACTCTAAGATGCCGTTGAGAATATCTGTGGTCAGCGTGACTGACTGCCGGCTGCCTGCCCTCGTTGAGGTGCAGCTTTCTTCTTGTCCTGTTGCCCGACTTCTGTATAACCTGATGATTGACGATGGTAGTATCTGGAGGTGATACAAGCTAGTGGGTGTTGCGGTGACTTTAGACTTTCATGTTTCTTGTAGACAGTGTTGGTTAAGCACCCAGTTTGGTCGTTCGGCCGAAAAGTAGGTGTGTATATCTGCTTGGTATGTATCGATTGTATGGCTTTGGCCTCCGCTTCCTAGAGGATTGAGGTGCTATTTTGGAACACAAAGACGTCAAATATCTTTAGGTAAATCGACCACCATGGACATAGAGTCAGTACATACACGTATATACACGCTGTTTATCGAACTATCGATTGTAAGTCATATTTGTTTCTACTTACAACTACAATTTGTAATTCTTTATCTTTGACTTCTCTGAATTATATAGTATTAATAATTATGTTGATGTTGCTTTTCCTTTTGTTTTGGTGCCCCTATGATCGTCAGAATGATAATGTGATAAGGTTGTGGTAATGTGACAGTTGTGAACCTTGTGTCAAGCTCTTATCAGGTGATTAAGGTAGTACCCTCCACTTAATTAAAAACAGTAATTAGTTCACATATTGGTGAGGTGCTTCGTATTATTGCGTATAAAAAGTAATATTGGAAAGGGAATCAAACTGTATATATTGTCTTCTGATGATACTTTAAAAAAATGTAAATAAATAAATAAAAACAAGCCGTATTTACCGTACTTACCGTGATGGAATCCCGCATATTTAACCTCACTGTATATGTTAATACTATATTATTACACTCGATTCTGATATAACACGAATACCATTATTGTGTGCATATTACAGCATGGACCTGTGACATTATTAACAATGTTATGTCTGACACAGCCTGACAGAACATTTCACACTAAGCAGAAACCGATAATCATCCATTTATACCTACTGTTGTACAAAAGTGTAGAATTACATACGAGTCAGATAATTAATTGTTTCGTACTTTTAGGACACATCATTCCTGCTTAGGGCTCATATTTTGAAACTTTTCCATGTAAGTCAATAGTGTAGATCTACATGACATTTTACCTGGTCAATACAGTATAGATCCACATGACATATTACCTCATCAATACAGTGTAGATCTACATGATATTTACCTCATCAATACAGTGTAGATCTACATGACATTTTACCTCTTCAGTACAGTGTATATCTACATGACATTTTACCTCATCAGTACAGTATAGATCTACATGACATTTTACCTCATCAGTACAGTATAGATCTACATGACATTTATGTCATCAATACAGTGTAGATCTACATTACATTTTACCTCATCAGGACAGTGTAGATCTACATGACATTTACCTCATCAGTACAGTGTAGATCTACATGACATTTTACCTCATCAATACAGTGTAGATCTACATGACATTTTGCCTCATCAATACAGTGTAGATCTACATGACATTTTACCTCATCAATACAGTGTAGATCTACATGACATTTTACCTCATCAATACAGTGTAGATCTACATGACATTTTACCTCATCAGTACAGTGTAGATCTACATGACATTTTACCTCATCAATACAGTGTAGATCTACATGACATTTTACCTCATCAGTACAGTGTAGATCTACATGACATTTTACCTCATCAGTACAGTGTAGATCTACATGACATTTTACCTCATCAGTACAGTGTAGATCTACATGACATTTTACCTCATCAATACAGTGTAGATCTACATGACATTTTACCTCATCAATACAGTGTAGATCTACATGACATTTTACCTCATCAGTACAGTATAGATCTACATGACATTTTACCTCATCAGTACGGTGTATATTTACATGACATTTTACCTGGTCAATACAGTATAGATCTACATGACATTTTACCTCATCAATACAGTGTAGATCTACATGACATTTCAGCTCATCAATACAGTGTAGATCTACATAACATTTTACCTCATCAATACAGTTCACCAGTGGTTAAAAGTTTGTTTGTTTTTGGGTTTTTTTTCAGAATTGCAATATAGGAAATCACTATGACAAATGCCTTGTATTTTCCATAATATAGTTATTGTTAATTAATTATTGTGACGCTAGAAATTATATTTTAAAATCTCGACAAGAAACTTTCCATTCAAGATATGTGGTTATATGGTACGCGGTTGATTGAAATCAGTTTGTACATGCATTGCCAATCAATACCCTTTCAACTTGTCGTTATGCCGTCAAAATGACAAAAGACAGTAAATGAAAAAGCAACACAGAATGACCTGAGAAGTGAATTAGTTAACGAACAGCCAGCTGACTGTGTATTAACACCAAAGCGAGGCTATAGTTGTATACTTTACTCTCACAGACAATTTTAGATGATTCGTCTGGATACCCTGATTGTCATATCAATGATTCCCGACAGGAAATAATCATAGTAAACGTTTTTGTACGTAACACTCTAACATTTTTTATCAGCCCAAGCTTAAAAGCCATTAAGTGAAACTGCTAATTTTATTGCTGTGTTTATCTCGACATGAACAGATAGTGTAATTTTCAGGCTAGGTTTGTTTGTTGTTCACAAAGAGAAACATATAAGAGTCCCGTTCCATATAAAATGTTATACAAAGCAACTATAAGGCGTCTTGCTGAATGACACAGAACAGACATCACAAGACGAACAGTCACTTGATTTTCAGCATCAATTTTAAGCTTAAAAAAGAACCAATTCTTGTGAATATTAGAACTGTTTTCTCTCTTTGAGTTGTGATTTGGTTCTGACATTTAGGTATTTGTGTATATATAACTTTCAAATGATGCAAACTGTGATGTTAAGTGTTATCGTAGCTCTAGGTATAATACCATGGCATATATGTAGTAATTTTTTCTTTCTCCTTTTTCAGGAAACATCGAACCATGTCGAATCATTCTGTTGTAAACAGCATACTGCTGGCTTATGAAGAGGGGAAGTCAACTCGAGGTAAGATTAACTTCAAAAAATTTATTTGTAAATCAAGGTTTAGAATTCAGATAAAAAATCTCTCCATAAAAATAACGTTTCATTACACGATTTGGTAGCATGAGTTTATTTCAGTTGGACAGATTGACCTTTTTTCCTGAACTTCTGTTCTCAGTAGTTTTCGTTTGGAATATCGTTTAAAAAAAGAACATTTAACGAGGTCTGATTTGATCAAACCACGTTTCTGCAGAACACAAGGAAACTGAAATTTCTGCTTAAAATATGAAATATTTTACATCTGTGATAAGCAAATCTATGAAATATATACACTACAGGTATGAAATAAATCACTGTAAAAGTCTTCGCATGCTCCAATTTTCGCAATTCTCGAGGTTGTATTTCAACCACGAAATATAATTCAAGTGAAAATGTGGTGTAATGTAGATAGATATATTTACCATAGCAACGAATTTTATGCTCCATCTACATGTACGTACTGATTCTTGGAGTCGTCTTAGTGAGTTAAGGACATTTAAAACTTTCAAATTTAATTAAACGTGCGAATATAATTTTAAACACATGAATTTCACTTACCTGAGGAGATAAATTTATTAGAACAGAGGAAATTTAGTCCATGATAAATTACTATGACAGAATCATGTACGATAAAATGATAGTAATGTTGTCTTTGTAGAAAGTACGTGTAGTTTTTGTCCTGTGAACTTGACACAAATAAATGCATAGAAAGAACAATCAGTGAAATGTCATGATAATAATTTAATTTGAAGGTAACAATGTAACCAATGTTATATACTGAAAGGATCAAGAAACGCAACTTCTTTAATTGTAAAATATTTTGTATTAATTGTATATATCATATATATATATTAATATCGGTCCATTAGGGTCGCTCGCTCGCGTGACAGGAGATTAACTGCGGCCAAAACGGCACGAAACACCATTAAAAACTGAGAAATAAACTGCGGAAGACAAATTTAGCACACGTCGCCAGTACGTTGGTTTGCAACTGTCACCTCAACGTCGATCACGTTGTATGCGATGATTGACAGCAAATGTGCCCAGACGTTTCTCTTTGAGACGTTGGAGGTCCATGCTCTTCACGGAAGAATCTCAATTTACGTTATTTCGATCAGATGGCCGTCAACATGTGTACCAGCGTCGTTGAGAGCGCGTCTTGCAGACACTTGTGTTTTGGATTATGACAGATTTGGGGGTAGATCGGTTATGGTTTGGGGAGGGATTTCCTATGGTTTACAGACACCTTTAGTGATCATTCACAGGAATTAAACGGCTGTATAATATTGATATGAGGGTCTGAGACATCCTGCTGTGCCTTTCATTATAAGGCACCATTTGACAAACCAGCATACTAACGCTATGTCACACGTTGCAAGAGTTTGTAGGGACTGTCCTGCAACATTGCCCCTATTGTTTGACCACCATAGAGTCCTATATGTCCCTAGTCGAATACTTGTGGGATGAATCAGACAGAAGAGTTTTGAATCGGGCAAACATCCCAAATAGCCTCTGCCAATTGGCTAACGCCCTTACCAAGGATGGGATAACATTCCTCTACGGAATTCCATGCTACGATGAATTAGAGACGCTATAGTTGTACGGAGAGGGCACACCCGATATTAGGGATCGGTCTGACAACTTCTATTATCAAAGTTTTGTGTGCATTAGGGTGCCCTTATTCATGACAGCCAAATGAAATCCTCATTTGTTAAAATGTGAAGACGGATGAGCCAATGTTCGAAGTGGACTAATGCATTTCACATTTCGGCACATTGATCCTCAAAATGATTTCCTGAAACCGAAGAGGTAATGTTGCGTTTCTTTTTCTTCTCAGTATGTCAATATCGTTTATATAACACCATATACAGTATATTATCTCTTGTTTGATAGAAGGAACATCTGCTAATTGTTTATGTCACATGCTCTAATTACAGACCCCCGCACACGCTATTGGTTTCTACTGGACGATAATCCAATGCATGTTTGGATCCTCACAGCTTTATACGTCGCCTTTGCTATCATCGGTCCGAAAGTAATGAAGGACAGGAAACCGTTCCATCTGCAAACATTTATGGTCTTGTACAACTTTGGTCTAGTTCTTCTGTCTTTATATTTAATGATTGAGGTAAGAATTACGTAAACAAAAAACATTTGACTGCATAATAACCAATATTCTTGGACAAAACGTAAACCCTCCCACCCACCAATAAATAAACATGTAAACAAAACCCAAAAGCAGTTAACCAGAAATATGCTCTAGACAGAATATGTGAAAAATTCCAAGAATTTTAGGATGTTGAGGTTCCACAATTTATCTTTACTGTGTAAGTTTAAATAAACAAATCGTGCCACCTGCAGTTTTTTTTAAATGTGATGAAAACATTAATTGATACATATATATATAGAACCTTTATTAAAGCAGTTAGATCGGATTACTTTAATTATGTACCATATTAACTTTGCATCACCGTGAACCTGAGACTATTAGTAAGTATAGGCAACAAAAAGGAATATATGTGCAACAGTTTAAACATTCACTATCTTCTTATTGATAAGGTGTCCATGTGAGATTTGAAATTGTTATATACCAGTATTAAATAAAGATGTAAACCTGCCTTTTGTTGTAGATATGCATTCCTTTAGATTTATAAAATTCTCTGTGGATAATCTATGAATAATTCCAAATGATATCATATCATTTCTTTGCTCTGAATAGATGTGTACTCGTGTGTCAACAAACATTTTATACGGAAATTCCTAAATGTTGTCAGTGTGACATGAAATTGATATTGTCCTAATTTTTGAAACATGAATTCTGTTAGGAAATTTAGTATTACCACTGAAGTAAGAAAGGGTTGTACAAAAGACACGCAAGATGTTAATACCTGCGTAAACCTATTCAATGCTAGTTATTTTTTGTTTTAGAAACTCGTAATGAGATACCACATTATGATTCAAATCTCTGTCATTTTAATCAGACGAATCGTTATCACCGTATAAATTATGAAAATGGTACTAATGTCTTTCTTTCAGATTATCGCCAGTGCATATGATATTGGATATTTTGATAAAGATCCATGGTGCTGCACCTACCACCATCTAAGGACACCAAACAATCCAAAGGAGTTGCGGGTACGTCATATATCATAGATATTTGAAAATCTACACGAAAAGTATTCTATATCCGAAGTCTCGAAATTATCGTTAATTCATTCTGACATCGGTATTGCTTTGACAAATACTATTCCTTGTAAAGACAAGGATAACGACATTGTCATATACTGTAAAGCTTTTAATCTTCGCGTGCTATTAGTTATCTTGATGGTCAAAGAAACAAAAGACCACGGACATACTTTTGAGAGCTGCAATTGTTATATTTACCGCAAAACTGATTAGCATTAACTGAGGACATATGCTGGTTTATGAAAATAAACTAATGTCATGTTCTATCACTGAATAGAACTCTTTCATCGTAAGAAATTCAAACATCTCCTTTACCTTAACAAGAAACACAAAACATCGCAAGGTGTATGAACATGCATAACGAGCAAAAAGCCTTTATTGACAAGTTATGAAATATAATCTATGGCGTTAAACGAAAGATAAATGATAAAATGCTGTATGAAAACCTATTGGGCTTTGCTCTAATATGCACACATTAGCAATACACACAACCTGCAAGGTACACTGTACATGATGTTTGTATGATAAAACACCTTATCGACTAGAATCAACAAAGGAATGAGTCATACAGCGGGTCCTTCAGTTAACAAGGTGTTGGCTGTCCTATCGTATGTTTGGTTTATTTCTGTGCAATTCGTGTTAGGATACCGTAATATAGGTGATTTTTTTTATTGTTATACAGACATATAAATACAGCAAAGTCAAATGTCGAAGAAACCATTGTTTTGGAAATGTTATACTATTTTTTAAATGTACCCCGGGTTTGTTTAATTTGACATATAACTTTCAATACCAATTTTGTTTGTAGTAGTAAAAAATAATTATTGTATGCGATTTTATCTCAGTCTTGAAAGTTACTGAAGCAAAGAAACTAATAGATGGACATAATTATAAGACTGTCATATTTTCTCAAGAAACGTTAGGTGTGTCTTTACATTGAATGACAGTACTTTATGATATGAATACGTCTGGCTGTTTTAGCTGATATCTATGATTTACAACCAATGATAACTTGAAATTTGATTCCCCTCTGCAGAAACAATCACACCACTAATATCAGGGGGAAATTTAATGTATTATATATATGGTATAGAAAGCCCTGACTAGACAAGCACGCCTAATTGTAAAACGTTCCATATAGAATTACATGACTTGCTCTATATGCAAACCCTTGGGCTTGATGGTAATGTGTTTGACGTGGTTGTTTATAACTTTGACTTTATATTATAGACACCGATTCCTGTAAATACAGATGAAATAGATACAATTTTATCAGTTAATATGAAAGTTGCACTAGCGCAGAGAAATGCCCAATAAAAGAGAGCAAAGAGTTTGTTAAGAGATACAAATTTTACATCACCACTGAACTCTCACTCTGTAGACTGTGTAGGTAAAGCAGATATTTTACTGAATTTATGGTGAACATAAAGTCTTTATAAAGAGGTTAAAATGTCTTTTTATAGCGTATCATATTACGCGAATGTATGCATAGGAAATACCGACTCGGTGGTATGTGGAGCTTGAACTCTGATGTGAACACATACACAATATACACACAGTATGAAGCACAATGTCAAATACATATGTGTACATTAAAATACCCTGTTGATCAATATAGGTAGGAATATGAGTCATCACGATTATATGTTTAAAATGTCTACCGTTTTAAATAGCTGTCAATTCGTTGATGAGATGTTTGGCTTTTGGATGCTTAATAGCTTTATCGGAGTTTGTTTTAAAGTTAATATTAAAATTAATATACCATGATATAATTGTTTACCACCTTTTAAGGAAACAGTTTTATCATTAATGATAAGATGTTGTGAGCCTGTTCACCTATCATGTGACATTTTCTGTAAATAAGAAAGTAGTTCTCAATTCTTAATTATTTGTAATCATTCCTTTTATGGAAGCATATTTTCATACCGTATTGCTACAAACAAACAAAGTCTTCTCCATCTTTCCTTCCTTCCTGGAAACACTGGTGCGATGAAGCAGAAGCAAAATACGGTAGAAAAACTGAATTAGATGTTCTGAATGCAGAAAATATATAGCGTTTCCAATGTTATAATTGACGAAATTGATATCGTTAAGATGGAACCATGGTCCAGTGTAATGTATCACTATTTAAATATAGTGTAAACTTATTTATATTAACTCAGTGTTATGGTCAATAAACTGATTTACATACACAAACAATTATAAACTTACCTCTAAATGTGATTGATGTCAATGTTTGTTGTCTTTAAAAAGTCTCGTTTAGATTACCTTCAAATTTGTTGTATTCTTTTTTCTGAATTTTATTTCTCTAACCCGAGCGATATTCTAGTATTTTCAATCTATTTGTTTTTATTTCTCTAACCCGAGCGATATTCTAGTATTTTCAATCTATTTGTTTTTATTTCTCTAACCCGAGCGATATTTTAGTATTTTCAATCTATTTGTTTTTATTTCTCTAACCCGAGCGATATTCTAGTATTTTCAATCTATTTGTTTTCATTTCTCTCACCCGAGCGATATTCTAGTATTTTCAATCTATTTGTTTTTATTTCTCTAACCCGAGCGATATTCTAGTATTTTCAATCTATTTGTTTTTATTTCTCTAACCCGAGCGATATTCTAGTATTTTCAATCTGTTTGTTTTTATTTCTCTTATCCGAGCGATATTCTAGTATTTTCAATCTATTTGTTTTTATTTCTCTTATCCGAGCGATATTCTAGTATTTTCAATCTATTTGTTTTTATTTCTCTTATCCGAGCGATATTCTAGTATTTTCAATCCATTTGTTTTTATTTCTCTTATCCGAGCGATATTCTAGTATTTTCAATCTATTTGTTTTTATTTCTCTAACCCGAGCGATATTCTAGTATTTTCAATCTATTTGTTTTTATTTCTCTAACCCGAGCGATATTCTAGTATTTTCAATCTATTTGTTTTTATTTCTCTAACCCGAGCGATATTCTAGTATTTTCAATCTATTTGTTTTTATTTCTCTTATCCGAGCGATATTCTAGTATTTTCAATCTATTTGTTTTTATTTCTCTTATCCGAGCGATATTCTAGTATTTTCAATCTATTTGTTTTTATTTCTCTTATCCGAGCGATATTCTAGTATTTTCAATCTATTTGTTTTTATTTCTCTTATCCGAGCGATATTCTAGTATTTTCAATCTATTTGTTTTTATTTCTCTTATCCGAGCGATATTCTAGTATTTTCAATCTATTTGTTTTTATTTCTCTTATCCGAGCGATATTCTAGTATTACCGTTTTATTTGTTTGCAGATAGCGAAGGTGTTTTGGTGGTATTTCTTCTCGAAACTGATTGAGTTTACGGATACTATCTTAATGGTGTTAAGGAAAAAGAACGATCAGATTACTTTCTTGCATGTATATCACCATTCTAGCATGTTCAACATTTGGTGGTGGGTCACTACCTACCTTCCTGGTGGACAATGTAAGTGGTTTAACCCCGGGGTCATATGACGTCATTCACACAAAATAACGTGGCGAATAATATCCAGATTTAATCATACCCAGACAGAATTATTCTAACAAAGTATTTTCCTTTACATTCCGTTTTCAATATGCCGTTTTACTATTTGGTTCACATTTTGATAAGCTTTTCACCATATTGTCAGCTTTGTTGTATCTAAGGACCTATGTCATATCAGAAAAAAAAGTCTTACTTCTCTATCACAAAAATTTCAATCTTCGAATTCATGTGTAAATTTCAGTTTGATTTGCCACTTTGATTATGCTCTTCGCATTTGAAACTTTTGTACAGTCATTCCTTGTCCAAGGAAATTTTCGCGTGTAATTATTTTAATCAAAAACTGTTTTCGTAGAATTTATTCTTTTGTATTTCTGTTAATATCACTGTAATATAAACGCGATATTTCATAAACCTATAACACAAAATTTACGGATGTAATCACATGTTGACACTATGTATTTGGTATCCTTGTACATGTATGTCCAAATGTTTGTGTTATAGCTTGGTTCTCCAGTAGTCTGAACTGTTCCGTCCACGTCATAATGTATCTCTACTATGCTCTAGCCGCCATTCCGTCGATGAGGAAATATCTTTGGTGGAAAAAATACATCACAAAATACCAATTAGTAAGTAACAGCATGACAATAAACATTACTTCCGGTAAATAATGATAGAAAATAATTCTACTCGGTTTCAAACAGAATACATATTAACCATTGTAAACCGCGATGAATTTGGAAAATGCTTGTTATTTGTGTTGTTAATTAATCGTATATCCATTCTCCTTTTTGTTTCGCATAGAAATTAACTGCAAGATTATTACATTTTCGAATATTTTTTTCATTTTCTTTGATGTTGTCAGTACTCTTTATCCACGAATTTATATGCCCATGAAATGACAGTTTAAAATACATAGCATCTTAGACTTAGCGGGTTTAGTGAGTTCATTTTATCCACAAAATCAATTGTCAATAAAGACATATTTCATGGAAAAGCACAAAATTTATACTTAATGGTTTATATGACTTCATAGTACATAAAAGAGCAGGTGACCTTATTCTCTTTTGCATGAATCTAGAATTTTTAGGGGGTTTATGATAAATTGTAAGATTTATATGAAATTATATTTTTATATCGTCTTTCACAGGTTCAATTTGTACTCATTCTTTACCACACACTGCAGACGACTTTCACTGGGTGTGATTATCCAATGTGGGGACAATATTTATTAACAGGGTAAGTGCTCATTTTCTTTGTCATAGTAATAGATATATAATTTATATTACAATTATTAAGATACAAGTAATATTGACTTTTATTAGCGTCGTATTTATCACTTTTATTCGGCACTGAGTACAAGTGACGAAGGGGTCTTTTTATGATGGAAGTTGTAGTTCTTGGGAAAACGCTTTGGACCGAGCAGGTGCTCCAATACCTTTACATTGCTGACCAAGGAAGCGAACTTCGGTCGTCTGGGTGAAAATATTGCCTCTGTATCAGCCGATTATCATAACGGTTATGTCGATTAACATAGGACGTGATATTGAAATCTTCATTCAAAGGCTCCAATTTGATAAATTGCATCTATACCGAATCAATAGTGAGAGGTCATTTATTCACTACCAAAAATGCATCAGAGAAATACGAACGGGTAGAGTGGCTACATTAAGGTTAAATCTATCTGCACTGTTAAATCATGTATGCGACATGAAAGAATGGTTTACGGATTTTTGCAGGTACATGGTCAGTATGCTTGTATTATTTGGAAACTTCTACCTCAACGCTTACATCAAAAAGAGACGATTGGGAGCTGCGAAAAAAGCAGAAGACGGTCCTAATGGTGCGGTCAACAACGGAATTCATAAAACTAACGGTCATTCAAACGGTATTTCCAATGGGAACACAGATGTTTTGTCTCATTGACCTTCCTATGCATAACTGATGCAAGGAGCATGATGGCCATATTTCTATGCAATACGTTCGATATGCATTAATATATACAGGCTATTTTTATCCTTATACAAGTTAGCATAATATTTACTAGATCTTATAAGATGGCACTGTTTCGATTTTACTTCTAAAATCTGATGTTTTTCAAACACACCAAGTGCCATATCGATTTTGCTAGTTTTCTCAGCTTTACGATTTTTCCTAAAAATGATATATTTTTCAAACTGATTTAAAATATCGCCAAAAGAATGAAAACTTAGTCTATCGATCATTGTCTTATTCTGTGATTCTCACTTCAGAACTTTCTTATCGTTGTGTTTACATATATTACAGATGTAATGAAGACCCTATATAGTCATTACACGCCAAATCAGAGTTTTATATCAGAAACGAGAAGCACATAGTTTCATTGGTGCTAGATGGTACCAGTAATGCTTGCTCAACTCATCACGTTATTCCCGTAATTATCAAATAAGCCTTTGCAATATTTTCACCTCTGTAGTTGTTTTCGTGACATTATATTCATAAGTTCCAAACATTGCTGTATTATATGATATTGTTATTGAATACGATGCAGAAATTTAATGATTAGAGAATGTGTTAACTTCTTGTTAACGTTTCTTGTTAGATTTAAAGTTATTTTCATTAATCAATCATTACGTACTTCACAGTCTGACACAGAGTTTTTTAAGTTATTGGTACAACTTGTTTGTTACAAAATACTCTCAAACTCGGCGCAGTGCTTGCTCGCTGTGTTTGTCTTTCTGTCTCTCATTTTATATATCTTGAAACAATCTCAATTCAGTCTGGATGTAAATGATATGAATTGTGAGAAACGCCATTATATTTTATTTCAAAATTGTACACAAAAATCATGCTCATTATTCGTAATTTCATATTCATATTTTTAATGGAAATATATATAGTTGTTTATTTCTTGTAAGTGTGTTTTTTTGTACACAAATATGTAGGCATTTTTAATTTCATATTTTAATAGAGATGCGTTGGCATTTAATTTTATTTAAATACAAATTATGTGATAAGATATGTGTTTGTTCACCAACTCTTTGTTAACATGAGTAAATGGTACCTATTGAGTATTTGTCCCCTATCGACAGCATTGTTATAGTCAGCAGTTTTGTTATTACGTGTTGGTTTTACGTGCTTGCCTATGATATAATTTTCTTGAAATTGTCTGTTGATTAAACAACGCACCATCCTCGACTTCACTATATTCACATTTGCTTATGCAGTCTATGAAACCTAGAATTCTGAATCCCACATGTAACCCTTGTGATCGCCCGGGACTTCTAGAAGGATCACAACAGTTGTATTGAATGATGATTTAGTTGTTAATTAACATGTATGGACCGTTCGAACAAATTGTATAGTCAGATGTTTAAAATTTTCCAAATTGTCATGCCTGTTATCATTTATCGTCTGATCGGCATAATTCTGTAGTAAATAATTATCGATAAAAGTCGACTGTTTGCTTGAGTTGTTCCTGACATGATAATATTTGTAAACGAGCTTTATTATTGTCCGAAGCCTTTCATTGTCAAGGTCATAGTCATGAATTGGCTGAGAAACGCCTCCTCATCCTATTCGACTTATGTAAAAATATATTTAATTTATCATATTTCTAAATTGATATAATTAAAAATAAAATTAGAATCTATTGAGATAAAAGAATGACATATTTCATCTTTATGTAACCTTATGCTTGGAAAAAAACGGATAGAGATGACAATGCTATATAAATACATAAGTCCTCTGAAATACTACGTACACACTCGTGCGTCGGACTAATTGTAAAATGAATCGGTCAGTTGGGCTTTAACAGATCACTCAGAGTAGATCATATTTCACGTTTGCAGTTTTTTTAGTAAATGTCAAACTTTTTTGAACAAAATGGCAAACCGATAAAGTTGCTCAAATAAAGCAGTGTCATTCAGTTACATGTTTCTATACATACGGAATACGGTCTCATAAATAGCCAAAGCTATGTCTGATAATAACGTTTTGTTTCGTTTTGCTTCAAAAACGCTTTTAATCTGAATTTTAAAAATACATATAAGTCATAAATTCATATATCATAGTGCAACCCTGATGAATGCTAGGTGCAAAACAACGGTCGTCTAGAGATATCTTGAATTAGACTGAGCGTAAGAAAGATGCTCCAGTGGTCTCGAGTCCGAATCCTAGAAGGTATTGAAATAAATAAGTACCGCTAATACAAAATTTGTTAATTAAAGAAGATAGGTAGATACAAAGAAGTAACACCCAAAACGGTCACATGTCCTTTAATGAGAACCAAATCACACAATACTATAAAATCTAATAGTGTCTTCAGTAGTAACAAATCTATTTCACAAGTGTTCCTAATATTTTAGTATCTTTCACGAGTTCGCACCGCGAGTGAATACAAAGAATATTGGACACACGAGTGAAATATACTTGTTATTACTCAAGACACAATTCCACTCATTATAACTTCGCAGTGCGCGACAAAATATAGTCCGTTTTTTCTAAATTATTAGAAATATGTCGACACAGAAATAAAATTCAATGTAAATTTATTTTCATTTTCACATGGAAAATGTTACTTGTCCGTGTCATTTAAAGACAGAATTTGCTGTAAAACGTTCAAAGATAGTTTAACATTTCACAACATACCAGTGAAAAATAACAAAATACTTTTCTCAGCGAGATATTTCTTTATATTTCACTTGCAAAAACGTAATAAAGAATATGCTGATTGTGTCCCATTGACAATCATTCTGTTTAAATCAGGGTAAATAATGCTGTTAGAAAGTTTGGTTATGATTGTGTTTAATCTTAATGTAATGATATTGACGACTGTTTCCTAATGTCACAAGTTGTCAATTTAAAAAATTCATAATTGTGATTTCTCTAAGATGTGATGGTTGCTATCGATACTCATGTTTCCTTTATATGCTCTTATTTATTAGTAATGTAGCATTTTAGTTTCACCTCGATTTGAATAGTAAATTCATGTTTATATTTCTTTATTCTCCTAATAATTCTATATATTCATTTATCAAACATTTTATAATATTTTGAATTCGTGTGTGCATGTCCCTGCAAACATAAGAATAGTTCCCCGAAATCAGTGTGTATGAACGTTAAGCGAATGCTAGAATAAGTGGGCAAGGAAGGGTATGAAATCGTACTCCAGTTAACCAAATATTATAATAGATGTACAAGGAAGGGTGTGAAATCGTACTCCAGTTAACCAAATATTATAATAGATGTACAAGGAAGGGTGTAAATCGTACTCCAGTTAACCAAATATTATAATAGATGTACAAGGAAGGGTGTGAAATCGTACTCCAGTTAACCAAATATTATAATAGATGTACAAGGAAGGGTGTGAAATCGTACTCCAGTTAACCAAATATTATAATAGATGTACAAGGAAGAGTGTGGTATCATACTACTTCGGTAAACGTTTGTTTGGGAAAACATCTTGAAAATACCAACGTGTCAACATAATTATAATCAAAACTAAAATTCAATAAAACTAGGGCAAATAATGAACAAAAGAAAGATTTACACAAGTTGACAATCTAATGTAAGCTTAACTCAAGTGAAACGTGAAATATTGTCTTATATCATAAGTATTATGAGGGACGTATAATACGTATTATACACCCTGGTATTGTCATTAGATGAGGTTGTTAAGTGGATATATGAGCAATAAATCGACGAAGTGGTTGAGGAGAGGTCTAGGTCTTGCATGTTGGTATATGGTATATGAATCATAAGATTGGATTTTATATTACATATTCCTGATGCGTTTTCAACAAAAGAAAACAAAGTTGTAAACATTAAGGACCAGTCATAATATATTTTCAAGGTCATACACTGTGTGAATCATGCTTTTAACGTATTTCCATTTCTCATGTAGGTGTTCACGGTGTAATATTTCATTGTTGCCCAGTTCAGCACATAAAGTGAACATTTTCTTACAGAGAGCATGTTTAATAGACGCATCATTTCCTGTTTCGCGAGTCGAAAGTAAGGGCATAAAGTGCGTTATGTATGCAAAGAATTGTTGTTCTGAGGTTTTAATATATATATGAAATTGATTTATTTCACAGTAACAGATGCATAACACCGTATCTATTTTACTACTTTTTATTCTTTAGCTTAAATGTTTTGAACTATAACTTGTGGTTTAAGAAACATTGTCACTCATGCAAATAAAATATTTTTAAAAATCAAAACGTGTCGGGCCTTTGTTTTGTGTCAGAAAATAATTTGTCAAAGCGTAAACATAAATTAAGGAATAGACGTCCGCGCACCAGATGCTATTAAACATATTTTTGTAGAGGGTTTATTTTCATCAGTATTTTCTATCTACGAAAAAAATAGTCACGGAATAATGCTTTGAAAACGGTAAAGAACATAACAACACAAAAACAGTAACAGGTTGGTGAGTACCCGTTGTCCATTCTATTTTTACTACATTGTACTACAACATCCAAATTGTATATTTAAATTACTCATATAAATAATGTAAAATTTGGAAATAAAGACATTTAAATGTGTCCTCCGTCCATAATTTCTTATATATCGGTAGCTAATGGTGTAGATCTCCAGATCTTGAATGTATAAAGATTTATCTGATATAATTGTTGATGTTTTGCTATCAATTGGTACCTTTATAAAATCAGATATTTAAAACGGGTGCGATTGTTCATACTGTCGAATCTATCATTTCTCCATCGCAATCAGGAAGAACGATAAGAGAGAGAGAGATTTGATCTAAAAGTTTTTTTCTTATATCAATAGTGAAAACCTAGTGTAGCCTCCAAAATACTTTATATCGTTGTACTATCACCATGGCAGGTAAATAAAATCTTAACTCGCAACTCAATTAAGACCTCTCGAATCTTTTCAAATGTTATCTTTTTGATATTTCCCAAACCTGTGTCTTTATCATCAAG